AATCAAATCTATGGCTGTCATTGTAAACGCGATGGCGCAATTAAAATCCATACAATCCAGATATACGATACACGTAGTTTTTTCAACAAGCGCAGCATCACCAGCAATAATCATATTTCATTAACAAAATCCCGTCACAAATATATTCTAATTCAATAAATCACGAATAACTTTTAATAAAATCGCGATAGCGAAATATATTTTTTTGGAAATCGATACATGAACGCCGAACAAACCGAACTATGAAGAAACTCATTGTTCCCGACCGCGAAACAATAAAACTCCGTTTAAGAATAATGAAATATTGAAAGTAAAACCCCGAATGTTTCTTCTCGCGGGAATAAAAGTGAAAGGCCACCTCCTCCCCCTCCTTGGCAAAAAAAAAGGAAAGTAAAGAGGGCGTCCCAGTTAACGAGTAAAAAGTGGAAGCAGCAGCGATGAGTCCCAGGAAATTGAATTAAAACTCTTTGCGTTCGAATGTCGGAGTGACAAATTTTGAAGGGGAACGTTTTCTTGTATCCTTCCGAGGAAAAAACCGTCGTCCCCGAAAAATATACACAGAGCTTAATTTAGTTTATAAGACTCGCCAAAATTGCTTTCCGGATTTAAATTAATAATTAATTGGGCGTTCCGTTTAGGAGACCAAAACAAAGGCGATTCCGGCCGAACTTCCAATTATCATAATTGGACCCACAAAAAGTGTTCATCTCGGCGAGAAACGAAACCAAATAAAGTGTTAAGTTCCACAGTATTCCGGGAGCTCACGCACATAATCGTAGAGAAGTGTAGTTAGGAGCGGTTTCGCGCTAAAATGGCGGAATACTCCAGGAGACGAGTCCGGGCATTGTGTAGTCGGAATGTTAGGAAGTGCTGTAACTGTCGTACCCAGAGGCTAAGTTATGACGGGCGGCATATCCGGCCCTCTGAATACCTAATGAACGGCACCAGTTTCTCTTAACTTTGCTCGCTATAATTCCTTCGCGGGGAAAACTCCACTTTTTGCCCTTTCATAAAAAGGGGCTCTGTGTACGCGGTAGGGCGATATATCAACTTGGCGGCGCGATTAGACTGTCGCAAAGAGGGGAAATTTTGTCACAACTATTTTTTCCACAAAAAAGTGAGAAGGGGCTTTTAGTAAATTGCGCACGGTTAAAACCCTCATCCAGGTCTCTAGTACAAAGATTAACTTTGAAAAAAGATACGTGCAAGTAATCTCTAACTTTTTTCACTTGAAAGGTAAACTGCTGAAGTTCGGAGCGCCTATCTACAGGATGTCCCACCACGTAACCTTAATTTTTTTAATATACAATTTTTCCAAATTTTTAAGCAGATGTAAATTTAAATTTTGGCTACGGTGGTCGTAACACAAACAGTAGAAATATTCCTAGTAATGAAAAATCACAGAAAAAGTTCGCACTCATATTGCGAACAAAAAACTATTTACTGGGAACAAACAGACCGCTGGAACACATGTTATTTGTCAGTTAATATCTGAAAAAGTGGGAGCCCCGATATAGCGAAAAAACATATTCTTTTCAATATGTATCCACTAACCAAACTTATCACCTCACAAAATGACCGGCTTCGAATAACTTTCCCTCCGTTTTTTGTTTTCCCTTTCTGTGGTCAATTATGTCGAGCCAGATGGCGAACACTGTCATTATCGATTTTAATGTCGAATTTATTATCTGACCGCCAGATGTTCGTTTTTCTGAAATCTATACTTTGCTTTGGTTTGGTTTTAGGCTTTGTGTGCAATCGACGGACTTAGCTTGGAGAAACCAATGTAAATAAACATCTTTCGAGTTGTGTCTCTTTCCCAACGATATACAAAGAAGAGACAAACATAGTTTGATCGTGACTCTTGTAATTAATACACTTTTAGTGCTAAATTGGTCGTTCTAAAAGTAAAAACTTCTGTCAATTCTTAATCCATATTTCTCATTTACACGTGTCATTTCTGTGACAAATAAAACACGCCACAAGTTAACATCCAACACGATTTTCCACTTTTCGGAATCGCAGCATAATGTGGGAAATTTATCCGCAGCAAATAACGCATCAACAGTATCTAAATCACCATTAATTTCCGTAATGGCATAACTTTTCTCGACGCTTAAACTTTAACTAATTTATTGCCACGAAGTACCACTGAAATTTTTAAAGTCATTGTTATTAGATATAAAGCCACCATCTTGCCTTTTGTTGTGAACTAATAAATCCGCTTACACGTTAGCCTACTAATATTAGAGTTGAAGCTTCTATTATTTTGAGTCTGAGCTGTATTCGCATTGTTCCGTTCCAAGTTTGAACCAATTTCCTGCTGTGTTATTGTTCAAAACAAAATGGTTTCATCGCAGGTGTAGGTTACCTCATATCTAATCATTTTGTAAATAGGAGTGTAGTGCGAAAACGCGAATTAAAGGCCGTGAACTTTGTAATATACGTGTATTAGGCGTTTACTAGGGTTTCGAGAAAATTGAAGGTAAATAGTATTAAGTTTTCGCTAAACGTCTTACTTGTAACGGAACTAGCATAATACACAATAACTTCACGTATCTCAAGCAATTTTAAACTCTGGTGTGGATCGACTGCTTATGTTCAGATCGATGAAATATGTCGTCAGCAGCACAATGCACAAACACTCCACACTGAACATATGTCATTATTTAACTTTTTATACAGGGTTTCTATAAATGATTATAGAGTCGCAGTAGGTCATGTAAACGTGCCGCCTCTCAGATTTAACTGTACGGAGATCTGTACCAAGTGCCCAAGGACGCATGACAAAAACCACACGCATCTGTACATCTAGTTGCCTAAACTCTTCATATCTGTTAGAAACATAAAACTGATTCATTACAATAAAAAGAAACAAATTTATTCAGGTTAAATATCACCGTAAATGTTGAAAATGTTCATCATTTTGTTGAAGGCACTTGTTCACACTCTTTTTAATTTCAAAAATGTTCTGTAACATCCTTTCATCGATACTTTGGACCCGTTGTCCAATTCTGCTCAAGTCGTCTCAAATCACCAACAACTTTCTCAGATACTGAAGTCTTCCACGAGATTTCTCTTTGTTGACACTGCCAGTTCGAACAAATCTGTTGATTACATCTCTAGTGTGAACCTTTAACGATGTTTTTTAAATTATTAAATCACGGTATTTGGCCATCTTGCTTAGAAGAGGTTATAGAATACACCCACTCTTCTATAAGAACGATGAAAGTGTCTTCTTCAACAGAATAAACCATAAATATTATACATGGTGACGTAAGCATTATGTGTAACTAGAGCAGAATCTTTAATCCTGCGAGAAAAAAATTACGTGAGAAAATTATGAGATAATAAAAAAGCTCCCCATTTATAAAAATTGCATCGTTTAGTTTGAATAAATAAAATTTGTTTCTAGTTTAACGCCCCTTTGTTGAAACAAAACCTCCAAACTTTTTATAAAGAAGTGTTTGTTGTAATTTGAATATTCTCTCAAGGGTAGTTAAAACTCCACCGGTTTTTGTCGTTTTATTTTATCACGTTTGTTGTTCTTAGCCTCAGACGGCGTTCCCCCAAATCATTTTTACTCATATTAAAACTGCCCGCACTCCCCCACAAGCGTTCCAATGGCGCTCGACTTGAGGCCCCGAAACGACCCAAGTCAGGTTTACAAGCGTTAATTTAGCCACTAATTGCACTTGCCTGTGACGGCTTAACTGTTTCAATTATCTAAGTTTAGTGAATTATGCGAAAAACTTTGATACTACACCGCACAAGTCCACTTTTTATGATTACTTCCGAGCTTTGTGCATTACGCCTCTGAACGCTGAAAATGTGCAATTAAGGCGAATTTCCGATGGGGGGTGCATATCCATTTTGAATAATTTCATTACGTGTCTGCCCTGCGAGGCCACGACGTCGACGTCTCGTTAAGGGGAACTGCCGTCTCACATATGCTAAATCGTGTATACGCACGGGTCTGAGCCGGCGATTTGTATGAAAATTTTCGGGGTTTTGAGTTAGTCGACGGAGTTTAGGGAAATTACGAAAGTTTTTAAATGTGACAGGTCTGGTGGAGACTTGGCTGGGGAATTTACGGCGCGGATAAATGTAGTTTGGGGACGGGTTGAAGAATTCGGAAGGTGAAGGTTGCCGGAGAAATTCGGACCAGAACGTTTTCGAGTTCGTTTTACTCGAAAAAGCGTGAAGTGCATTTCTTTCAACGCCACAACTGCATTGTGCTCGTAAGTCGGACTTTATTAAAGTAAAGAAAAGATAAAATTCCGGCATAGGAAAGTGACAAAGTTGTTGAACACAACTCGAAAAAAGTTTTACAGAGACAGCTATTACTAGTCGCTGTGGAATAAAATGCATAAACCGGTTCTAATTAAAACAGCGAGTACATTTTTGCACTGTAATTACGGTTCTATTTAGAACCTGTGTTGGACACTTGGTTATTTACATAAAACTATGGTTAGATTTTAATAAAACTCTTTTAATGGCATGCGTTTATTTATATTGTATCGCGTAATTGATTTTTCACGATTTTATGTTTTATTCAGCCGTTTTAATTGTTTCATGAAAAATTGACAAACAGCTTCCTGTTTAAAAATATAACAAATATGAAAATCGCTATATCCGTTCCAACAAATTGCGACCCAAAAAGATAAAATTTCCCCAAGAAAATATAGTTTTCTCCGAAAGATCTTCCCTTAAGCGCGCTTTCCACATTTGTTCATCTCGCGTAATTAGGCCGCTGGGTCGAAAGTCAATTATCTTAATTGAAAATTCGGCTAAAAGCGCGTTTTTGCCCATTTGCGAATCGACTTTGCCCCGTTGCTCCTCGTTTATCTCCCTCCAATATCCCCCGTCAATTCCCTCTCAAAAAATACTCCACGTTTGATTAAATTAAAACAATGATCTTAACTCGCGAGCATGAGTTTCCTCAAAGCGTTTCTCCCCGTCTAAGAAACATTTACATTTCAAATTAATCCTTTACTCACCGCAAGGCTTCATGGTGGCGCCCCCTTCTCGAACGCCTGCAACAAGAAAAATCCAATATATGCTTTCAACGGAACGAAATTAAAACGTCGCTAACTTTTATAAAGAAAATAATTACGTCGAAGTCGTTTATTTGATTTTTAGTTGTACGAATTCAATTCCCAACTTTGAGAACAGAAGAGGAAATGTACCGGAAGTGGGAAAAGTTGACGCACGTGCACTTTCCTTTGACATATTGATAAGTTTCACACGTCTAAGTCGTGCCTCTGATGAAGAGTTCAAAGTGCGGCTCCAGATGCTTTGTTCAAAGCGAGCGGGAGTTTTAACTAGGTGGATGGAATGACCGGCCTCAAAGTGATAAGGGTGAAGGCATATCAGAAGCTGGTGCTTTGTGGGGTTAAACTATCGCTCCAAACGGTAAAATTGTGGTCAAGAATCAAACTAGTTTCAGCGCTAGCACATGTTAAAATCGCCAGACGCATCCACGACGCGAAGAACAAACGAGTTTAAAGTTCATATGCAAATATACCGAAGTCGACGCGACGACAATGGAATTTAGCCAAACGTCTCTTCAAAAACAATTTACAAGTAGTTTATAGTGAAGCGAGACCGTCTATCATCGTAGTCCGAGTAACATCATCAAGTAGACCGCAGCCGGTGGGTTTTATTAAGGTTTTATCGTGGTTTTGACTGATAAACACAGTGAAGGAATTAACCCAAACGCAGAGCTGTTAATGCCCTAGTGATATAATCATACAAACAACCTCCCCCTCCTCGAATCAATACGTCCCACTTGTCCTCGTTCAATTTAAAACCTTGTATTTTACGCGTACGTCACGGCAATAACTCCGACGAGGTCATTAGATATAACGGTCTCGAAATCGAATCGCAAGCGGGTAGGTGATTATCGGCCTGTTTTTGCCATCAGCCCCAAACCCAAGAGACCTTCATGGCGTCGATCATATCAACGGGATTCGTTGAAAATGTAAATCATAGGGATGGAAATTGCACTCCTCAGAGTCGTGATGTTCCCTCTGATGCTCTCGTTCGATGTGTACATCGTGCGTTTTTTCCGGTGGAGTCTCGATAAAACTCCGCGAAGGTCAAACGAGAGCACAGCAGAAAATGCTACTACATTAAATTTGAAAATGTCGCCGAGATATTCTCGGCTTATTTTAAAGGCAAATGTCGATCTTAAGTCGGCGTGGCTTGTTTGCTGATATTTTTAAAAGCAGATGGAAATCTCGAATGGCTGTGGGTGTCATCGCTACAGTGGTGATTTTTTATTTTTGTTTTGGCGACATATCGCTGCGATTTCGTGTGGGATTCTCACTTCTTTGTAATCTTATTTTATCGGGTTTTATTATGCGGATGCTCTCGAAGGGTGGGATGCGAGATATAGCACGTAATTCGCATATGTTGAGATTTCTCTTTTCTTTTGTTCGGGCGATTTTGCATTATTGCGGCCGCCGACACGCAATCGTAATTATTTTACGAAGCTGAGAGAAGAAAAAGAAACGCGGAGATGCAAATTCGGCGGAGATTAATTCCGCAGCGCTAAAGGAGAACACAATTGCAGTATAATACTTCCCGAACAACAATTTAAGCTTTTTCCTCGCAAAGGATAACTGCAAAATCATTCCGAAAAATGTGTTTTAAATTAACATTCGCAACAAAAATCTAAATGTCTCAAGGCGGATTCATGAACCACAAGTATAGAAGAAATGAACGCTCGATGAGTGTCCTGCGAGAAGCGCCTCGCAATAATTTGCCTAACGGAATGGTTTGCGGCCGATTATTTGCAGGAGCGTCCCGGACCCAATACGCAAAAACTATTACTCACCCAATTAAGTCGCTGACAGTGCACGCGTCCCAAATTAATAACACAATTAATACTAAATTATTTCGCCGCCAAAGCGGCCCTCGCAACTCCCGGTAACTCCCAACAATACTAATTAAATTTAAATGCGTAGGTGAAATAAGGTTAATTAGCCCGACAGACGTAAGAAACGGCGAAGGGGAGAACTTGTCTCTTATAATTTACATTTAATGACCCTTATTTACAACCCTTCCCTTTTTTGCCACTTTTATGACGGCTCTATCGCGGCTGATGCGTCCAAATGGAATTTTTCGGCGATTTCTGAAAGTCAAACATCGCCTGAATATAAACCAGGCTTCCTTGTGCGAACTTTTTCCCGAGGAAATCAAAAACAAACACGTCCAATCAAGGATTTACGAGGTTGTATAAACGCCGGGCGGCCGTTATAAATGATTTTATTAAAATTTAATTGGCGGCAATAAAAAGGGTTTAAATTTGCACCGGCTGAGCTTATGGTTGTGTGTCTGGCGAAAATAAATAACTTTCGGGTAAATTTGTTTAAGGAGAATTTAGAGTTACATTGTGTGGTTTGCGTTTTTAATAATTGGGTCTGGTGTCTGATGTCGGAGTTATTTTTGTGAAGCGCGATTCGCGCGTTTTACTAATCCAATATTTACGTTGGGCTCAGCGGAAGATGGAAAAGTGGTTGCGTGGTAATTTTTTTTTAGTTGCCGAATGACACGGACAAAAAGCGGAACGTTTGCACAAGTTTTTAGTTGTGGGGGCGAGTAACCGAACTAACAAGCAGATAATCGGCTCGTTAAATATTGGTTTAATTAGTGGAGTGGATGCGAAGGGCTCGACATGCAAACTCGATGCATTAACTTTATGTTCACATAACGCACCGGGGTAAAATTAAATCAACGCATCACGCAACGACGACAGGTCACAAAAACGCATACCAAAGCTCATTTGAATTAAATTTTTTTAAAAATCTTATCTATAGCGAACACAGTAGGTAATGACCATCCAGTTACAGAAGTAGATACAAAGTTCACCTGATGCAGTTATACGAGTCAAAAGATGCAGAGAATGCTGTAATTGCCGGTTTTAGAGACCGCTTGAAGCGCGTCATTCATGAGTTTGTATTTTTAGTTTGACGATATAACAAAATTACTTCACCCATCCATGAAACATCCGGTAAATTAAACTGACCGTTTTTCACAATTATGAGCTTCAAATGTAAAATAGTTGATAACTAAAGTAAAATAAACTCAACATGTTTTGCAAACATGTGACGCATATATTTTAATGAAAACCTACACGTTTGAATAGGATGCTTTTTTGTTTTATTATACTGTCAAGTAGAAACGCGTACAGTTCAATGGATATTATTCAGCCGACGTAGTTCTGTTTTATTTAATTAATAAAATGCTTTCACATCATGTAATTATTTTATTTTAATAACAGTGGCAGCTTGGGAATATTTTTGCAGTAAAATGTCGGTGTTCGCTTTGTGAATAATGGTGTGAATTTCGGGAATAATACATTAATTTCCAGCAATTTTCTTCAACGTCAAATTGTAGCCGTTACAAATTTTAATCCGTTTTATAACATTGCTAGGATATTAAATCATAATGAGATATTCTCGGTATTAATATTTAAGATTCTCGCTAGACGACTTGGTGACAAAATTTGTTCAATTAATTACACTGAATAATTTATCCTATATTGTCTTTTGAGCTTAGTATTCGCCCAACACTGATTTAAAATAAATCCAGAGAATTTGTTTAATAATTCCAAGATGTTTTTCGTCTGGAATTCTCTTTACGGAATCTCTTTAAATTAGCTTTGAAGAATTTAATTTCGCTTGAATACCTGAAAGATTTGAAAGCTTATAATCTAATCTCTCTATTGAAATAAATCAAAGGTCGTCGTAAAAATACACACACTGAATTGAATTTTGATATCCGGAGCAACAGAACGAAAAAAATACGCTAATTTTAGTCTACAATATTTTAATTTGCTGATGAAAATTAACAATTTAGCCAACAACTAAAAATACTTGTTTTAAGATTTTTGCCAGTATTAGTTTTTTCCGCAGTGGCAAGGCATCTGAACGGTGTCGGAAAGAACCTGCAAGTATTCGTTATTACTTAATACGCTTATTTTCAAAAAATTACTTTACCGAATTTGAGGACCCATCTTAAAGCGCAGAAAAAATAAATTCCTATCACGATTTACACAAGAAAAACAACACCATGACTCACAAAAGTCAAGCTCGTAATTTTTCGCGCGATACAAAAATTCACCGTAATAGTAAATTAAAATAAACATTTATTCAACCGAAGAGTGTTTGGGATCTTTTCGGCTTCTCGTTCTTTCTTCCTCATCCTGCGCCCACACCCGCCCTCATTAATATCCCCCCCATCTCGCGTTCCACCTGCTCTCATACGCAACTTTTCTCCGCCGGCGAAATTAAAAGATTTTTTCGAGGCGTCTCAAATTAATATCATACCTGTTTACCCTCCCGGAAACGCCCCCGTATTTACCGGCAATATTGCGTGAATACTTGAGCTCATCAGGGAGCAATTGTTGTTAAATTTACGCGAAAATCTCGCTTTAATCTTTTCAAACACCTCCGACACTAGCCGGAATTGAATTAGCGTTGCTTTCTTCGGCCGTCGGGGCGGTTAAACATGAAAAATAAATTATCACGGCGGCGTTTGCGCTAATTCCGAAGTGGATAGCGCACACACGTCGGACCTAAGTAAAAAGCTGAATTGCAACCGGAATAATAATGGGCTTACGCGGAAGCGTCCTGATATTACTAAATAGTTTTGAGGAGAGTTGTTCTGCGGCGGCTGTGCATTTCCATAAAATTGTAATAATTGTAGCCGAGTTGCGACGATCCGGGATGATTTATGGGGCGGCGGGCGGCCAGAGCAAAAAGAACAGTCGGACGGTATGCAACTGCAAGTCTTATTTTGTGTGGGGATATGCAGATGTACGGAACTCCGGGGTTTGTTTTTGTTTCAAGGTTGTTCCGGAGCTGTAGCTATATTCACCCTTTGGGATTAGCAGATCTTCATAGATATGTACGAAGTTGGGCTAGCTCAAATGTACCGAGAAAGAGTCGGAATATTGAGCAGACTCGACCAAACTACTTCTCCTCCACTACACTATTTTGAATTACTGATTCTGTATGTGACTGCACTC